TGAATGTATTGGTTTAACAATGATGTGTGTTTTTTTTTAAATTTTTTGTGTCTGTCATCACGTTTTAGGACAGTAAAAGTGCTTGGATTTTCTTCATCAGTAGCTTTTCTGATAGGAAAGTGAATCTAGTTGGTACTTTGGGGGGACACAGTTATTTTTTACAGACATTTTAAATTCAAATTTGGACGAAATTACATACTAATAAAACCTAGAATAACTATTTTAGTTATTTTGTTGTGATTGAATAATATTATTCGTGGATACTTGAAACTTCTAAAGTGTACTATTATATATCTATGATAGGATCACGGTTTTTGTTGATGTACAACGCGTTATAAGTACCTAATGGATATTGTGATATGATTAATTTGGAATTTATTATAGGTCATTTTTTTTTTAATACCATAGATATGTATATAATATGTCTTATACATAGACTGACATACCGTCTCTGCTCAGAATCGTTTTTCATGTACAATGATATTATATCGTTGAATTCAAATTTAATATCATCCATTATAAAGTGACCCACTTGTAACCTACTGTACAGCAGAGCGACACCCACTTAAACGCTTTTTATTAAATTTGTTTTGTACATATTATTATTTAATAATTAAAAACTCAAAAATAAAAATACACTTATATATTCTATAAATATATTTTATTTTATAACATACTTTAATAAAATTGTTCAAATAATCAAATGTATAATAATATGTATAATTGTATTGAAATAAATCACCTTTATAAATTTTATTTTATTTGTTACTTTTAAACTTTTAAAGTAATTACTAATTTGTATAGTTGTGTTATAACGGTATCTAATACACTAATTATTTGATGAGTTAGTTTTAATTTTTATAAATTCTTTATTTTTAACACAATAAATAATATATATTATATAGAAATTATGTTTAAATGTTTTTGAAGAGGTTTTTATAGATGTTTTATATTACATATAGGACTCGATTTTCGATATTTCATTTTCAAAATCCATAAAATCGTTTTGCATTTTTTGTTTTTTGTTTTCACCTTTTTGATTTGTGAATAATTGGTATAATAAATTAAAATATCAAAAATCTAGTCCTATACGTTAACAGATTTAACTCTCCTCTATAACTTTTATAATAGGTTTTTTGCTCTAAAACAGTTAGCCGTGTTTTTGGAACTAAAAAAATAAGTTTTTTCTCACAGCCGCGGCTGTCACGGCAATACGGTAATGTAAGGATGGTTGAGGCGATCGTAATAAATCGAGCATAATTTTATTTTGTTTTATTTCACGTAAATAATAATAATATGAAAATAATGCAACGACGGGCGAAGCGCGGACCGCCGATAACAGACCGGTTTTGACCTGCCGGCGGCGAGCGCGCCTGGATTTCGGAGCTAGGAGGGGACAAACGCTGCCGCTAGAAACGACAGCAGCACATGACGGCCGCAATTACATTTTTTTTCTGTAAAACATGCCAATTTTGTTCCAATAATACGGCTTACTGAATGGTTTTAGAGCAAAATACCTTTATTAAAAGTTGTAGAGGAGAGTTATATCGTTTGCGTGTCGAGACTCGATTTTTGATATTTCGTTCTCAAAATCGATAAAATCGTTTTGCGTTTTCACTTTTTTTCACTTTTTTACATGTGAATAATTGGTATAAAAAATTAAAATATCAAAAATCGAGTCTCGTCACGCACCCGATATAACTCTCCTCTACAACTTTTAATAAAGGTATTTTGCTCTAAAACCATTCAGTAAGCCGTATTATTGGAACAAAATTGGCATCTTTTTGTACGGTATTTTTGCCCGTGTGGCGTCCTCTTAACTTAGTTTAAAGTTAAAATTTTCTATTTTGCAAAAATAAAAAAATGCACACATAATATTAGTTTTTTTACACTCAAGAAAAATACTAGGGAAATTTTTTAAATGAGACATAAAAGTATTAACTAGCTATCAAAAAACCTACTTTTCCAAAATAAATCTTAGTCCTGAACTCTTACTCAAATCAATTTACCCAAGTGGTACATCAAAAAAAAAAAAACACCTTAATAGTTTTCTCCCAACTGCCAAGATACCAATATTTTTAATTGATTCACATAAATTTTAAAAATCATACAGGCAGTACCTACCACCCAAATATATTTTCTATACTGAGGACAAAATGCAGCCACCGTGTAGTTTTAAAACCTAGGCTCAGCACAACATGAAAAATTATTATCAGTAAAAATATAATTACTTTGTACTATATTTTTAGATAAAAATAAAACCATAAATGTTAAACCTTTAATAAATATCTTAAGAAATTACATATTTTGTATAAGCTTTAAACTTTTCGTACTAATTTAAATACCTGTTATAGAATATAAAAATAACTATACATTTAAAATAGTTAATTATATTTATAGAAGTTGTCTTTACAAACTTATGAATTATTATGCAATCATTTAAATTGTACCAATTGTGTACTTCCACTGTTGCTAAACATGGTAAATAATAAAATAGTCGAGTCATGACTACAGCATTCATTATTGAAAGTCACCACATATCATTTAGATAACATATAAATAAGATAATCGATAATCTCATTTATGTGGCTATATAGCATATATGTGTACATAGATATTATTTATAAACATAAATAAATAAATATATACATATATTAACAGACCAATATTAATTAATTACAAGGACAAAACAAAATTTAAATTTTCATCAAAAATATTTATTATATTTTAACGAAAGAGACATTTCAAAATTGTTATCAGAAATGGAGCCTCTCCTTTTGTCAAATAATTGACCACCAGCACTAAACAATCTCTCCACAAGAGCAGATGACGGTATAGCTGTATTAAATTCTATAAAAGCTTTTTTTAATTCGTGTGTTAAATCAAGTGGTACCTTAATGTTAGTATTTGTTAAATAATTAGTAACTAAAGTTTGGAAATCAGAGTTAATTACTGAGATTTCATCATTAGAAAAAGTGAAAAAATCATCTTCATCTTCACTGTTTGTTTCAAGATTTGAAGAACTTAGAGAAGAAAGATTTGTGTTTTGATCAAAATGAAATTGCACACGATCAATAACATGTTGTTTTATGATGTTTCTGTCTTCGGGATTAGCCCAAATTAATTTGAACTTTGGTACCAATGCCGAAGAAACTTGTAATGTTTTTGCCTGCATGTAATTTTTAAACCTGAAAATATAATGTATATTTAATGTACCATGGAACACATTATAATGATATAATTCAGTTTTAACTTAAGAATCGTTAAATATTACAAGTGCATTATTACTTATAAATTTAAAATATATATAAATATGTGGGCGACATAAGGTAATAATATAAACGCTATTTATGAAATTGTTCTGTAAAACGTTTTTGTACCATTTTAACTGTATAAATAAGTTTTAACTTTTATGAATAACATTTGAGTACATATATCATTTTTCATTGAGTTCCAATGAATATAATAAAAATTTAAAAAATTTATAAAAGTACCTTTTGGTTAATCCATTTTTTAAAGCATGAACCAATGGTCTACAGAAATTTAAATTATTGAATTCATTTAAGGCTTTGTTTATAGCTGTAATTGTTGGTAATAGATATCCAATACAAACATGTTGTTCACCTTGTATAACATCTAGCCCTGTTGCGATTGGTTTCATCACCTAAGATAATAAAACAATAGGTATCATACATCCCATTGAAGAAAAATTTGATTTCCTTCTCAATTCCTTCTTCCCAAAGTAATGACAAATTAATATAAAAAAAAAATTTTTTTCTTTAGTAAATTTACTGTTAAACTATTATATTTCTTTCATTATACCTATCATTATAAATTATAATAACATATTACCTTGCAGTATTCAATTAAAAATGAAGACTCTCTTTGACCTGAGAAAGGAGTTAATTGAAATGCTGTGAATATTGTATCCATTTTATCTATATGGTCAACAATACATTTTATGGCATCGTAGAACGAATTCCATCTGAAAATTATAGTAATTTATTTTGTTATTAATAATGAAACACTGATAAGTCATAATAATACATGGTATTTAATTTTAAAGTATTAAAATTTAAATAATATTAACTTGCCTGGTAGCGTTTGGTGTTATAAGATATCTTCCCAGAATTTCTTTAATTTTATCAGCACATTGTGTCGATTGATTCTGCTTATTGAAAATAGATTGACATTTAGCAAACACACGTCTACTAAGTACTTTATATGGACCATCTTTTTCTGCTTCAAGAATATCAACTGTTGCAGTTAAATTTAACGTGTGCGCAGCACATCTTTGATGTTTTGGCAATTTTATATCTAATACATCATTTGTGTTTTGAGTTTGACCATCAAGTATTTCAGTGATATTTATGGTTCTCAATATTTCATCATTTTCAATTTCAATTCCACACATTTCAATATTATTACCACTATTGTCAATTTCATTATTAACACCAAACACTCTGAAATCAAAATAAATACATTTAAAATTGAAAAACTTGTAATTATAAAAATAAAATGAATAACTATTACAAAAAATTACAATATATAAATACATACAATTAGTATATTATTATTATAAAAAGTAAAAAGAAACTATAATTGTATACCAGCGTTTAGAGATTAATTAATTCTAGTATTTTTTATACTGTTGAAAAAGATAATATAACATTTAATTATCAGCACTGTATATAAATTACAATTTTAAATAAAATTCAAAAAGTTGGTGTACAATCATAGCTTAATGAATTCGTTATAATAAATTAACATAAATCATAATATTTATAACTAATACAAATAGGCCATTCTAAAATATACATCTTACTTGAAAGCTTTAACAAAATTTGCTGCGTTATCTGTGACAATTAGAGTGGTTTTAGACTGTACATCAAATTCTGTAAGAACTTTTTCAATTATTTCTGCTATATTATCGTATGTATGCCTCCCTAACATGCGTCTACAAGCGAGGGCGCGGGAATTACGTTCCAATGTAATTGGGTTCAGCCAATGAATTGTAAAACCCATATACGATCTACAATAAGTTTATTTTGTAAACATAGGTTTTATATTATTATTGAATAACAATTAAAAATTTATTTTTTTGATAATTTAAAAATAATATTTTAACTGTGGAAAATACTCCAACAATCTGCAGTAATGCAAACATATTCAATTTTTTCTAGTTCAGTCTTCAGTTGTTGAATCATATCATTGAACAATGAGCTTACATTTCTCATCAATCTTCTTCTGGACATAGGAACTTTATTGGATGTTAAGTGACAATATTTTATAAATGCAGGGTGCTCAATCAAAGAAAAAGGTGACACAGTATTTATAATGAGTTCTAGGTTAGCCTTATCAAATTCTGTTTGACTAAGATTTTTTACAGTTTTTCCTACTTCCGATAATTTCAACTGTTTTTTGGGTTGAGTACAATTATTATTATTGTACGACTTCCTTTTTCCAAGCTCATTAAATGTAATTAATTCACTTGGATGAACATGCTGAAAAAATAGGTATTAACTTCAATAATATAAAACGCATAAAAATCGCACATTTTTAAATTTATCCACTTATTTTTCAATACTTGATGTGAAATTACGGTAATTTATACCTATGAGTTTTAGTTTTACTTTAGATAATATTGTAAAATAACAAAAATCATAACAATTACTGAAATTTTTTTAAAACAGGTACCTAGTTAGGTAGCTAAATTGATCAAAAAATAGTTTTAATTATTAATTTTTCGAGTTGTTTACAAAAGCTGTACAATTGGTACTTTTACTATAATATGGTGATTTATTTTGATATTATTGAAAACAATTTAATAATAATAATAGACAGTTGAACCTTAACATTAACCGGATATTTTTAATATTTTCTAAATTCACGAATAATTATAATTATAATTGTCCGATATGCATGAGGAACGATATATATAATATATATTTTAGTATTTTACTATAAAATATAAATTAACTTACCTTGATGTGAGTTTTTAAATTTGAATTTGAACTTATAGAAGTTGATATCAATTTTATTTTTGGCATGCATAGCATGCATTTGAATGTAAAATTTGATTTTTTTTCAGTTGTATCTGATGTTGATAGTTGTTATTCGAAATAAGTTTTTAAATAGGTCCACTTTAAATGGTCTTCAGACATTGTAGTTTAAAAAAATAATAAACTTTTACAGAAATATAATAAGCTAATAAACTAATAAACTAATAACTATATATTATAAATTCTAACAAGATGCGAACAGAACACATGCTTGTTGGATAATGAAATTAAATTGGAAATTTGGAAATTAAACCACAGTTGTTTTGAGATTAATCCCCGTCGACACTAGCTCTCGTGGTATTTACTATTTTCACAGAATATTCTTAGGATTTCCATGGGTTTATAGTGTTTACTGTTTATACAATAACAATGTTATAAAAATAAAACGAACAGAGCCTTGATTCACAAATCATAATAATATAAAATTCTTGTAATCTTATTTACGTTAAATACATACCTACAAATAACAATAATATTATATTATCTTTAGGTAGTCTTTATTTTAATATTATATAGTATATTTGTATACACAAAGCTATTCACTCATATCTGTAAAAGTTTAAGCGAAATATACATCATATTAATTAAATTTATATACATTTAATTAAATACGAAGCAAAATATTGAATGGGTAATAAATTTATATTACGAAGGTTGACACATGATGGTATACTTATATTTTATCATTTTATTACTTATTAGTTGTCTTTATTATAGGCTTCACCAATAACATGTCACAACAATTATTTATTAAATTCCGCATTTTATATGTGTTGTGACTAGTTATAATGCCGGTAATAAATTATTGTTGAACCAAATTCGGACTAGTCGATTATAATTGCATTTATTTAATAATGGAAAAACGTTCACGACAACATTCGACATCCACTTCAGGGAATCCATTTAAACGATAATCTGTATAACCTATCTTTGAAAATATTATTTATACAATTTATAATGATAAACGTGTAGGTAGATATTATATAGCCCATATAATGACTATTAAAGTTATTTTTCATATTATTTTCGTCTACAGGAAATTCATATTAAAATAATAAATCATAAAATATACTAAAAACCTCATTAATAATTTCCATTTTTCTTTGCACTAAAATTAACTTAATTTAGATAATATTAAATAAAATTAACTTAAAGTTAACACGTTAATCTTAAAAAAAAGTAACTTATTAAGTTAAAAGTTAATTTGTAAAAAAAGTAACGAGTTAATTAACTTAATTAAAATTAACTTAACGTTTTAACTTAATTTTAACTTTTAACTCGTTAATGCCCAGCCTTGGATATTACTAATACATAAATACGATCCGCGTTGGACGTGTAAAAAACAATCCAGTGTATCTTATTATACTCATTCTAAAGAAATAAAGAAAGTGTATAGTAAAACTTTTATATTATTATAATAATTTATTAATTGATATATACGATCCGCGTTGAACGTGTTAAAAAAACAAGTCCCTCGTGTACTTACGCTTGGCAATTGCCGCTAATGTTTTATACGCTGTTACTCATTCTGAAGTTGACAAATAAAAAGCAATAAAGAAAGTGTATATTAAAACGAAACTGTCGGTATTATATTATATGTTGATGGTATGATAAAATACTAAATTCGTTAATCGGAAAGCATGTGTTACATTATATTAATTGATAAATTACCTACGATCTGCGGTGTAAACGTTTTAAAAAGCCACCAATTAAATTAATAATACAATATTTATAACAGTAATATTACATTGTATACTCACGTGTTTCCTTTCCGGGTACTTTGAATAAAATGATTTTAAAGTCGGACGTCGGCGCAGTGCTTGGTCTTAGAACGGCGACAATAACAAGAGTCAAGGCAGGTAACCCATGCGGCCATGAGGGCAACGATATCGCACGGCCGATTAATAAATTTATTGTATTGACAAATTATTAAATCGATATTTTATAGTTTTATATTATTCATTCGAAATTCCGAACACGGCATTAAACCTTACACTTTTGGCCATCGTTCTTATTTCATTTTTGCAAAATTATTTCTTATGGTCTTAATAATGCCTTAGGACCATCGCTCGAATTTATTGATACACACGCGAACATGGTTTTCAAACATTCCCACCTTCGACAGAATACCGCCAAAGCGGTAGACCTTATCACCGACCGTTTATCGTCTATCCACTCGTCGGTATCAGCGGATAACTTCCCGCCTATTATGTGATACGAGAGACATTGGGTCTGACATCATGTCGGTGCGCGGAAACGTTTCCGTGTTTTTCGGAGGACCATGGGGAAACGAAATCCCAATCAGCTGACCGAGTTTCGCTTCTAAATCGCTCTACTACCTACTATAAACGACAAAAACTATTAAACGTGGCCGCCCGACTTGCTAGACACTCAACAAATCACGGCGAATATATTACGACTAGCACGGGCCCCGGAATGTTATTATTTATATATATTTGATTTACGTCATTTGGCGTTTTCATGCCTTGACCCGGACGTCGCACTATCCGACGAAGTCAGATTTCCTACCAGGGTAACTACGTCCAACGTCGAGGAAGGTGACTGACCTGCTAGACACCAAGACATATACCATTTTTTTTGGCACGTGACCTATTACTTAATTTTGCGTCAGAAGTCACACGTTGTCCGCTATCCGACGCTAGATCCTAGATCCCCTGCTAGGCCCCAAAACATATTTTCGAGTAATTACGTCGAGGAAGGTGACTCGTTAGTCGGATTGCTTACGAAATGTTTTGAATTTTCATTACTTAATTGATTTAGTGACTGTAATGGACGCTGTCCCGGCCGCACATTGCCTACCCGGATAACATAGATGGGTGATCTGCTAGACACCAAAAAATCGAACGGTGGCTATATGATTTACATGGACGCCCGAAATATTTTGAATTTAAATTCTTTAATTTTGCGCTTTCGGTAATAGTAATAAACGTCGTCCGCTATTCGACGCAGTCGGATTGCATACGTGATGACATGCCCCAGCCGTCGATTATTGTCGGATTGCCTTCAAGGGAGACTACGACCAAAGTCGAGGAACGTGACTGACCTGCTAGACCCCAAATACTATTACTAAGGCGAAAACATTACTAGACACCCACAAAAATACAACGACTATATTATTTTTTTACGGAATTTCGAATTTCCGGCGGCGATGGCGAAAAGACTCTGTCAAAGACTTTGTCCGCTACTCGACGACCCCGCTGTCCGGATGGCCTGCCCGAACTACCACGTCGAACCGCAGTGGTCCTAGCCTTATCATACATCCTTATCAGTAGATAGGTTATGTAGCTATGAGCGCAGTCGGTTTTTTTTACAATCAAAAAATCACCTTAAAATTAGCTTATTTCATCATTTTTACATCGAATTTTGAGTGCTTTTTTGTATACAATTTATATACAAATACAATGATATTTCACATATTTTGTATAAAATATACCATGGTCGAATAATCCGACCATGTCAGAATTTAACACGTCCGTAAATTACGGACGTGTTATTATTGTCACCAAATCCCATAAATTCCAATAAATTCTCTTTAATTTTATTAATCTTACGTTCCCCTGAAATTAGGGGTACGTCAGGTTTTGTATTAAAATCCATAAATTCAAATAAATTCTCAGTTATTCTTTAATAAAATCATGGCCGGAAAAACAGACCATGATTTTTTCTATAATATAATATAATATAATATTATAAGTGACTGGTTTCAAACCAGCCACCTCAAATTCATTTACAATAGTACTAATTTTTATATTTATTTTTAATATCTTTAGGGTGTAAACTATTTGTTCAAATTCAATATCATTACTTTTTAAAAATAACTAAAAATTTTTGTTATCATATTATTATATTATATTATCCATGGCTAAATAACATGGTATGACAGCAACTCTGACGATATTCAGTTGTTACGCGCATTCATCGTTATCACTTGAAAAATGACGTCAGCCGGTCCCACAATTTGAAATACTATTTAGCGGGAATTCTTATTATATTATGATAATATTATATTGTATTGAGTTGAACATTTTCTATAAATATATTATACTATTATTATTACTGCTGCATATTTAGAGTGATTAATGATTATAATTCATAATGTAGAGTAATGGAAAAATGGAACATATTAATATATTATAATCATTGTTTGGTATTGTCATTTTTTGTTGTTTTTTTATTTAAATTTTTTATAATGCCTGTGTGCGTTGTAAAAAATTGTACGAGTGGCAGTCGTACATCAAAAATTGCCGAAATTAAACCAATCCTTCATCGTTTTCCTAAGGATGAATATCTGCAAAAATTGTGGGTTGAACTTAGTGTTATGTCTGAAAAAATTAAAATTTCTTCTGGTTAGTAAACATTTATATGTGGTTTTATATTATACGCCTACATGGATACATATAGTAAACAATAACTATAGATTAATTTGGTTTTTAAGTATATAATTATTTTAATTTACCTAAAATGTATGTAAACGTTATAGCACGAGTATGCTCATTACATTTTGATTCATCTGATTATGAAAAACCAATGATTCAAAGAACGTTAAAATATTCTCCTAAACATCAACGAAAACTTAAACCCAATGCTGTACCATCAAAAAATTTGGTTGGTTATTATTTTTCAGTATAAAAAAAAAAAACAATTAAATCTTATCTAAATCATTTTATTGCAGCCCAGAATTCAAAAACCAACAATTAAATGTGAGCCTGTAAATACACATACACCACACTCTACACATGATGGTTTATTCCAATCTAGTTTTCAAAGTTCTAAATTACCTAAAGAAAAAAATGATCCATTCACTTCAAATAATAATAATAATTGTTTGAATGATCTACCTGATTTTGGAGTACAATTATTAAGTGAAACACAAGATGTTGGTATTCAGCGTTAGAATATGTAGTGGGTTATGTAGCCAGGAGAATTGTACATAAATATCCTGATTTAGACAATGAAACTTCAGTGTC